ACAAGAGCTTATTACATTTACTCAAGAGTTCATCCTAATTTTCCACTTTGAAGCTTTTCATTGATTCATTCATATAGCTTTGACTACATATGATTTCTAAATTGCTTTACCAACTCATTACTCCCAGAATGTTTCTGATGCAATCACCTAAAAAACATCCTTTACTCAAGGCAAAGAAAAGTAATGTATGCTCTTTTTCACTTCCATAATCCTTGCCAGCTGCCCTAACCTGATCTTTCATTTTAATGGTTTCCCTAAATGCTGTTTGTGATCTGGGTTGGAAATTCAAGGAGAAGGGATCAGAGTGACAAAAATGGAGAGCGTGAAGGGATGATGAAGAAATGAGAAGAACCCACACAACTGAGGTCCAAGCTGGGATCTACAAGAACTAGAATGACCCTCCCAGGTTGTCCCTACCTGGCTGAAATGGTCAGGCTTTTCACTTCAGCCCCATACCCCTCCAGTCAGCTCACTGCATGTGCACAACCCCACGAAGCTGTGGCTTTGGAGGAAGGGCATCTGCTGATGAGGTGACATGTGAATGGGATGACCCCTGAAGGTTATCTGCGACACACACACACACACACACACCAAGAGTGGTTATTAAGTCCTCCACTGAGGTGATATCTGGAAGTGCTTCACAGTGTCCACCACTGATTCTAACTTCCTTATTTTAAAGAAGTGGGAAACTCAGGGGCAGAAACTTTTGAGTTACAAATCTGAGTCTCAAACTCAGAATTTACATTCCTTGCTTACTATTCTGTAGTAATGATGTCTATTTTGGAAAGAAGAGCAAGGAAATATTTACTTGGTTCAAGTAATTTTCTTGAACGGGACAAACAAAAAGGGATGAGTTCAAACAATTCTTGATGATGTTTTTATAGACAGAACTGAATTGCCAAAGTCATCTCTAAATTATGAATAAGGCATTATGTCTAATTTCTACACATTGGAAGTGTTTTTGAATGTCTTTATGTGTGTTTTACAGGGCATTCTGATCCCTACAAATGCATTACCAACATATACTATAATAATGCCTCCTTTTATTAAGTCTTCATTGGGTCTAATGGGAAAAGCAGTAAGCTGACAACTATGCCCAGAACAACACTAAGTAGATGAATGTACTTATTTAGCTTTGATAAAACTTTAGTAAACCTTTTTGGTTCTTCATTTTTAATTTTTTATTTAAAGTTACATATAAGACAACTTCCCATTCAAAATGCTGTGGATAATATGGGGAATATAAGTTATAGGTATCAGTATTTTATTTTTATACCATGCTTCCCATCACATATCATATTTTGGCTACACTGTACTTTCTGTTCTGTGTACTTGCCACTCTCCTTTTCACCTCAGGGTTTCCACACTCGTTTCTTCTGCCTTGAACAGTGACCCAAAGTCATCACATGGCTGACTCTTTTTCCTCTCTCAGGTGATGGCATTAAGGTTATTTCCGCAGAGGTCCATACAACCTAAGTAACCACTCCATGTCCGAGCCAAATTTCCTTTATACTAATTTATTATCTTAATAACACAATTATCTCAGATCACCTTGTTTATATATTTTCTGCTACTCATTATTTAGCCCCTAGTACATATCTGTGCCTGGCATTTAAGTAATTATTTTGTGTGAAAGAATAATTCAGGCAATAAATGAGTATTTGTGATTTATAGGACTTTAAATACACATCAGAGATGCAAAAAATTATGACATTTTTCATCTGGGGAAATCAATTTACCCAAATTTCTGAATAAATCTGAGTAAAACATGGGACAGTTTCTATCTTAATATCACAATTTTTATTAAATAAGCTCTCTACAATATTTTTATCTGAGTCTTCCTAAAGGGCATCCTAAAGGGCATAAGGATGTATAAAATTAATGTGTTTCTGTTTCCATAAATATTTTTCAAGGCATCAAAAATACTCACTTTGTGAGAGACATTCCATCTTCTAATTGGTAAAACCTTGTAAAAATGTTAAAAATTCTTAACTTTCAAATTCTACATTAAAAAACAAGCCTATAATAAAGAAAGTCTGTATAAGAGAGACAAACAAAAACAAGCTATAAATTAGGTCACTAGACTTACAATAATATTTTTGTAAGGAGCTTTTACAATATTTGGCTAGCTTTTAAGCTAGGAATATAGGATGTCCCAGAAGATTAATTGAACACAGGAATTCAACCTCTGATGGGGTCAAATGGAATGTCTTTTGTGATCCAGGCTGAACATTTATACTCATACTCAAATATACATCATTCTACTTATCTAAGTGTATGCTTTCAATGAGATAATAAATACTTTATTTTTAATCAGGGAGGTATTAAATTCTTATTTTCAACTATACTTATTTCAAGTCATAAAGTTCTAGACATGTTCACTTGTCTTATTAGAGAGAAATTCTTACCTAAAACTCTCATTCTAGTAGCTCGTTCTCTCAACTACGTAGTTACTCTAAAAATTTGGTGCTCAGTGGGAAATACCTTGTTTACTCTACCCTACCATCTATTTTCATGAGAATTTGATTCCATCTACTTTCAAATATCTTCTTTTGAGATGAATGAGACCAGGAAAGCCTGGTCTAAGAAAGTATATTTTCCTATAGAGGCCAGAGACACGGTAATAATGGATTGATGTCGGGATCATAAAACCACAAGCAGTATCTGACACAGTAAAAGAAAGACACCTTACTAAATTAGGAAGTATGGTGGAAATGAACATAGATAAATCCTAGTTTTTTAAATACCTTTTGTGTACAAAATTTTAGATAGTAATCATCATTAACTGAAATTAATGTTAGTTTCTCCAAATTGCCAGGCAGTTGTCCTAGTCTATGGTGAAATCAAAGTGAAAAAAAAGGTGGAAAAATAAAAATGCCTTGAATGGGAGCACCTGGCTGGCTCAGTCAGTAGAGATGCGATGCTTGATCTCAGGGTTGTGAGTTTGAACCCCACATTGAGTGTAGAGCTCACTTATAAAAAAATAAATTTTTTTTAAAATGCCTTGAATGCAGGCAAAATCCCTCAGTAATCATTTTCCACAAAGACTAATGCTGTGTTGTGCCATAGCCTCACTAATCTTCTATGTTACTCACATAAGGTATTATGTTAAATAGCATGACAATGTAGAAAAAATAAACAAAAACAAATACGGGCCTTTGTCATACTCCACACTCATTTTAGCAGTCTCGCAAAATTAAAAATGTTTTCCAAATGAATTGTCAAGAGAATTATTTATTTTATCCAAGTATAGTGTAGCAAGTCTTGGATGGCACTGTTACTGGTTTCAGGGAAACAGAAAACAATTACAAAACTAAGTTAAAGGCAACTTTATTACAGTACTTTTCCAAACTTCAAAATGCATTTATTATTGAATTTAGAACTAACATATAATACATTATATTACAAAACAGAAAGCATATCTGGTCAGATATTAGCTTGCATGTATTGCCCAAAATATAGTTTCCTAGGAACAGCAGCAACACACAATAGTTTATATCACTAAGTAAAATATTTCTGATGTGACATAAAGAATCATTTATAATTTATTTTATGTTCATTTAAAAACAAAGCAAAGTTATCTTTTCTATTTCTTACTAGTTAATGCCTTGAAGTTGTTTATACCCTAAAAACATCCACCAGTTTGCAAATATTTCCTTTGGTAGAAAATAGGATTTTTGAAGCTAACCAAACTAAAAGAACACTCAATTTCCCCATTGCAAATAGGGGCAGAATTCTCTTCTTTCCTTTTTTAGGAGCCAAATCTGGGCCTCCTTCTCTTCATAGCCATCCTGAAATAGTACCTGCTTTAAAAAATACCCAAATCTACAATAAACTCTATTCTAATAAAGTCTTCTCTGTTTTATCTTGCCTCCTCATATTTGATTATTTAGGGTAATTTACAACCCACTTTGACCATTATGTAATAATGAATTTAGAAGTAATCTTGGGAAATGTAATAACATTAAGGATGTATTTTCCAAATTAGATGAGGATATTATTTGCTCATCTGCCTCTGCTTCACACAACCAACCAAATTCAACTTACAAATAGAATTCCTTTTCCAACGTCACTACCCTAATAACAATGGAAACAGATATAAGACCACTGAAGAGATCGGAGTCCCTTAATTTGCTCTCTTGGTTTAATATTTGTGAGCTACCAACTAGCACAAAACAAGTTCCTCTTCCTCTTTTTTACAATAGCAGGAGATGGTTAGAAAAGTATAGAAAAGGTTCTATTTTTTTGTAAGGCAAATTTAATACAGATTTTCCTATGAGGTTGGAAAGAAGAAAAAGTGAATGAAAAGGTATGTGCTGGCTGCTTGGGGGGGCAAGACTCATAAATCACTGTACGTTAAGAGCACGTGCTGAAACTTCATGGTGCCAGTCACGTAATTTTGTGTATTTGGGACTAAAGACGTGAAGGGGTATCTTTTCCCTGTGGAAATAAAAAAAAAAAGAAAAGAAAAGAAAAGAAAAGTGATAGAAGAGTCATAAGAAAGAGAAGGAAAAAGTTTGTACGCTTAGTTCATCATGCAGAAAACATGCTTTATAAAAGCTTAATTTCACATAGCTATTTTATTTAATAGTGAAGATTTTAAGGGTAGAGCATTTTTATAAATATAGAAATTAATCTATACAGCCCTCTTGGAAATCCATTTTTATGCCCAAAATAAAATTTCTATAAGACAACACAAATTCATTCACAGAGATCTGTAGTGTTAGCAAAGCATCCCCAAGTATACTCTTCTGCCCACTTACTTAAATATGAAAGGAAATTAATCTTACATGAAATGAAGACAATAGCTACTAATTTAAAAATCTGTTAAGTTTTTTAAGTTCCACAGTTAAGTCCCACAAAAGATATCAAAGTTAAATGCTCAGCTTCTAGTTACAAAGACAAAAAGCCATACCACTACACTTGAAAATGTGAAAAAACAAATCGAGACCATTCATAAAAGGAAAGCATTCAATTTACCAAAAAAATGGACAACTTACTTTGCCTTCTTTGTATTTTCAGTGTCCGACTCTTTCACTGAAATATAATAAGCAATATCCAATATTAGTTGACTTTTTTTTAACTTGAAAAATCACTTGAGCAATTACCTGTACCAATCAATAGCAAATGGTCAAGCTGCACAGAGCCACTGAAGAACACTCCACATCATGCTGTCACTGGCTACATAGTATGGTCAGCACTATTACTACTACCGCTCCCACTGCTCCACTTCTCAATGCAATTCTCCCAGGCTAGTTCTTATTTACATTACCCACATTATGCATGGCATAATTTAAGAGCAAACTGCCTCAGGAAAATTACTCTTTTCCAATAATCGCCCATCTGTCTAAATGTTATTCTCTATGGCAAAGAACATTTGTATATTAGAATCCCTAGGTATTCGCTTACGATGTTCAGTCCCAGTGATCTGGGCGAGGATTCGGAAAGAACGAGACTGAGTTGTTCCAGTCCTTGGACGCCAGTCTTCGGTGTCCTCCATCAGTCTCTTCTTGCTGGCATCACTATGAGTTGGTATGTGATAAAACTCCGTATTGCGCTCCACAATGTGTTTTCTTGGTGGGCTAGGATTAAAAGGGAAGGAAAGAATTACAAATCTTTAAATCATACTAAGGATAAAATACCCTCTGCCAAATCATAATCCACACCTTTAGTATCAATGTTCTTTTTTATATCTTTTGCTTTTCCAAGTGAACTCAGCCTCAATTTTCTTAAAAAGGCACCCTTCTATAATAGACTTGCTTTTTCTTAAACTAGTAAGAAAAAAAAAAAAAAGGTATTTCTATGCTAACATAAAATAATATAAATATCTATTCAAGAGAAAGTTTACCGTTTAGGTGGGGTTTTCCTTTTAATTGACAGAAGAAGGCAGCAGAAGAGAGATTCCAGCATAAAGAAAAGGAAAAGAATAAGAAAAGGAAACTAATGAGAATTGCAACATCCACAGGAGTTTAAAAATTTTTTTGAAATTACTTGTATTGTTCTTCTACCTATCTTATGCCTAACAAAACACAGGTATGGACTATATTCACAACCACTGTTAAATATCAACATATTCCCAAAATGTATTGCCTTTCACAAAATTAAATGACCATATCTTCACTACGCCCAGGAACTAAGAATGGTTTAGTACAGGGTAAGTCAGTACTTCCAAACACAATTTTGAAAAGGGTCAGAACTGTTACTTTCTATGGTTTTCTCATTCATGGGTATAGATATCCCTCATCCTAAATAAAGTTGTGTGCAGGTTCAGTGTAGGGAATAAGAGCTATGGTATATGGGAAACCAGTGAAGTAGTTATCAAAACACCAAGATGTAAATCTTGGCTCTATGACTTTACAGATGTGTGATTTTGGACAAGTCAACCTCACTAAGCCTGGTTTTTCATTTATAGATGAGTATATCACATACGAAGTGGCATTGTTCTAAGCGTTAAATGAAATAATATATGTGAAAGGGATTAGTAAATTACAGAACTCAAGAACTTTGAGTTTGCTACGAACATTCATTTTTCTATTAACAAAGCATAAACATTAAGGAATTTATAATGTATGTTTATACTTTAGCCTAAGATCTTCTGAACATAACGAATACTCCGTTCTCTACCCCCCTCCCCCCCCCAAGACACGACAAATGCAAACTTTTGGAAGCCTTGAGTCTAATTCCAGGAGAGAAAAAGGAGCCTAAGTCTGGACTAGCAGACTACTGCCGTAAGATCCAAGCAAAGTGTTCAAAGAGTATCAGATGTGGGTGGCAACACCTCCTGGGTGTAACTCATTGCTAGAAAATCACAGGTACTATCAGAACGCCACTGGACTGTTGTCATTTTAATAGTTACACCACCAAAACTGTGTCGGTATACTAGAAGAGTTTTTGCCCAGTGAACAACATGATAAGATTAACATTAACACTGGCTTTAAAAAGACAGGCAACAGTTTCAAGCATGACATCCTTCATGTAGTGTGTGTTTTATGCAAGTCATTTAAAATCTCGATTTTACCCATCTGAGAAAAAGGGATTGCATCTACCTTAAAGAGCTGCTTTGAGGAATAAATAAGATCAATAATGTATGTAAAGTGTTTTCCAAAGTACCTAGTGCACAGTAATGATCACATAACGTGTTCTTTTATGACGCCTAAAAACATTTGAAATGCGTATTTTAAGACTATGGGTCATCCGCATATATAAGTAACAGAACAGGGGCGCTGCAGTGGCTCAGTGGCTAACTGTCCAACTCTTGGTTTCTGCTCAGGTTCAGGTCACAATCTCATGGGTCATGAGACTGAGCATGTTGGGGCTCCGAGCTCGGTGGGAATCTGCTTGAGATTCTCTCCCTTTGCCCCTGTCCCCATGTGCGTGTCTGTACGCTCTTTTCCTCAAATAAATAAATCTTGAAAAATAAATAACAGAATAAATACTTATTTACACACAAAATATTTAGTTTATGGTAAAATTTTAGGATCCCAGAAGTGAAGTATCTATTATTTTACTATTAATTACTTTACTAATTACTTTTACTAAAAACCTAATCCTTTTTAAAAGAGAATTTTAAAAAATTAGAACAGGTAGAGTACTTCATAAACACACTACATTTAGAAGATATAATTTCCTAAACTGACAACTCTTTATCTTATGCAATTACTTGGAAAACTTCATATTTAGCTACTAAACTTAAAGCTTAAATTTCTCTATAATTAGTGAATGTAGGTTACTCTTAAATGGTGCCAATTTCAACTATAAGATTATTTTATTTCCTACAAAAGGTTTGGTCTGTAAAAATACAGATTTGTATTAAAATACACTGCTTGTCAAGCTAAGAATAAGTACAATAAGAATAATAAAATGACACCACTTAAGAATACGTTTTAGCCATGACATACTTGCAAAAAGCATGGTACACCTTAGACTCTGATATTCACCACAGCTTAAGGCCTTGTGTTAAGGGATATGAAGTTTCTAAACATTTACTTAGCTTTTCTGGCTCTGACACTCTAAGCTCTGATGACTATGATAAAAGAAGAGTGTCATCTCACTGATTTTATTTTTAAAAATATATTTGAGCTAGAACATAAATTTAACTATCAAAAGCAAATAATTTATTTCAAAATATAGATATTCACAATTAGCAACTTTATTCAAACTTTTAAAAAAATACTAAACATGAGAGGCCCGTAACTCCAGTATACACTGTCTACAATACTTATCTATCTCCCTGAAGGTTCAGCTTACTAATTTTTTCCACTGCCGAAGTGGAAAACACACCCACTGATTTATATGAAGTTCTTTAGTATGAAAAACATGTTTCTTAGGCTCCTTAACAAATTTGAAAATTCTTGCATGGAGAAAACACTAACAAAGTTTGCTGGTGGTATTGAATTGAAAGTAAGATGTAAAGTTAAAGAGAGACAATAATGAAAATTACAAAAGGAACCACTGATTAGGTACTTACACGGTGCCAGGGTTACTGAAGGAGGAATAATACACACAAAAAATATGTAATAGAGTAGAGAAGACATTGATGTTCCCAGGATAATGGAAAATGGATGAATATGAGGCAAAAAAAAGGGGGGGGGGAGAAAAAAGAAAGAAAACAGAAAGGAAAAAGAAGAAAATAAAAAATGAAATAATGAAATTAAAAACAATGAATTTACATGAAGATATTACACAAAACATCATGCTTCAAAATAAACATGTAAACACAGACAAACAAAAATGAACAAATGTTAGTCAAAATTCTGTTATACTGTTAACAGAGAAAGATCCACTATTTAAAAATATCTCTAGGTTGATTTAATTCATTTTAGCATGAATCCAAATTCCTATTATGTTCCTAACAAAAGGCAGAGAATAAAATAATTACTGGATGTAATATGTAGAAACAGAACATTTTAGAATCACTTAAAATCAGAGAATAGGAGAAAGTCTTTCACTCACATAATATGTGAAGTATATATTAATAGCAAATGTAATCTTCTCACAAAAATTATCCTGAATCATTAAAATAAAAAGTTAACCCCCCAAAAAATAACTATATCATACACCTGAAACTGTATGTTAACTGGGACTAAGATAAAAACCTAAAAAGCCAAAAACATTATTCTGAAACAAATATTATAAAGAAATAACATGCTATTTGATTTTTCTCTTATTTTTTAAAAATGTGATTATAATGGAAAATACAGGAAACATACTGGATCATAAATAATGGGCTATCACTTAATTTTCATACTCTCCTCTGTCATTACCACTCTCATTCACAAGCAAATCCCAGTAAGTTTAGAACTGATTTGTAGGAACTCATGCTTTTGTATTATTAGTGACCTAATTATTACCCAAAATGGCATGTCTGATATGATATAGTAAAGGAACTACATTAATAACATCTGAAAAAGGAAAATCTCAAAACATAATTCATTCACACAGCCTATTAACTGTACAATCATTAAAAACAAATATACTGATATACCATTATGGATAGAGAAGACTGAAGTATAAACTCTACATAGTTTGTCAACACACTATTGAATCAATCCTGAAATGAAGTTTAGTCACAGTAACTAGCAATTCATTATGAATGTAGTGACAAAAACTGCCTACCGGTTTTAATACTAAGACTGCTCAGTGTAGCTGTTTTTCCTACATATATACCAAAGTCAGTTGCATAAACTCTACAGAGGGCTGAGTTTCACTGTACGGGGGTGGGATGCAGGACTAAGTTGATCTTAATATTTACTGATATGTACTCTGCTCCAGCCACAATGCAAAGCACACTTTCCTCTGCATTGCTATTTTAAATAGCCAGGAAATAGCTTTCAAAATAACCTCCCCTGAACAGAATTCTAGATACATATTTAAACGTTTTTAAGTTTAGGAGAGAAGTTTTATATCACCGTGAAGTTGGGAGGGAAACATTCTATGGTGTAGAGAGTGGCAACAACTGGAGACTTGATTGGTTTCAACCTAAAGATGCCGATTTGTATATATTGAACAAATATCTCCAAGCATTTCAGAAAAGACACCCAAGCGGAACGGCCCATCATACACTGCAATGGCATTTGCGCCAATGTGCCCATGAGAAGACCTGGCTTCACAACCCTGGCTATGCTGCCCACTTGCCCTATGCCCTGGACAAGATGCAATCTACAGAAGCCTCTCTCGCCTGAACACTGAAATGGATTACGATTTCTTTTTCTTTCAGACTTCTTGTAAGGGCATATGTTTAATATATTTAAAGTCACTCTGAAAACCATACAAACACAGATTTGTTGTTAGGATAGATCTCCTAACTGATATATATATATATATAAAAGAAGTACTGTCAAACCCAACTGTACTTTATGCACATTATTCACTCACACTGACTCAACCCATTTAAAAACAAATACTAGGGCGCATGGGTGGCTCAGTTGGTTAAGCGACTGCCTTCAGCTCAGGTCATGATCCTGGAGTTCTGGGATCAAGTCCCGCATCGGGCTCCCTGCTCGGCGGGGAGTCTGCTTCTCCCTCTGACCCTCTTCCCTCTCGTGCTCTCTATCTCTCATTCTCTCTCTCTCAAATAAATAAATAAAATCTTAAAAAAAAAACTATTAAAAACAAATACTAGTTCAATGTAACAGAAATAAGCCAAGGTCACAGTCAGGTGATGCAGAGGAAAGCATGTTCAAACTAGCTTCAAAAAACCTAAGCTTTAGTCTTAATCACTTACAAGATGCATGACCTGAAAAAATTAAGTAACCTCTCAGTGTTCAAAGTTCAAATGAGAATTAAATCACATAATGCATCCAGAAGCACCTAGCACAATGGATAGTAATACCTAATAAATGAATCTGAATCCTGAATTTAAAAATATACATATTTAACCTACATACTTATATTTATTTTTCCAAGGCCCAATTTTTCCCCTTTACAAGTAAAATTGTTTGTTATGGAATCTAGTAACTAGTCAAATTCTTTGTGTATAAGAATTTAAATAATAAATTAGGGCTGAGCTCTTTCACTAGTACACTGGTATGCTATATTCCTATGTGTATGGAACATGGAACTATTCAATTAGTGGGACTACAGCCACACTGGAATAAAGTTGTTCTAATAATTTGATCGTTAATTCTCTGGTATGCCTAAAATAGTTAAATATTATATATTTCCAATTCTAATCTACATTTTGATGATAAATTTCAGCATATGCTCACACTAATCATAACACAAAATTAAGTTACTAATGTGATTTTTTATCTATTTTTAAGGCTATTAAACACCAGCCAGTGTACCATCAAGATCAATAGATACAATAGCGAGGTTTTAAAGGTATTCCACAGTGATTCCCAATGTCTATGCCAACTACCTATGACATTTAATAAGTCAGTAACTATCTCTCTTAATTAATTTCAAAGGTATATATAAACTTTCTATCATCCAGTGACACACAACTGTACACGTAGAGGTCTAAAACTTCCAGCAACATTGTTGAAAAAATCAAAAACGTTCTTAAAGAGACTTTAACCTGGGAAACACTGGTTTGTGATATGAATTTGGAAAACAATTCAGTTTTATATAATATGTTTTTCGCTAGTGGTACATATGTTTATGCTTTCTCTTTTATCTTTCTCTTTGTCTTCTAATAGTCTCAACTGACACAAATTACATTCCCCCAAGCATTACGTCTTATAAACCACTACACAGCAAACCCCACATATATTTTATGGCAAAAGTTAAATACTATTATTTATTACCATAAAGCAATTCACTACAACATAGCAATGCAAACCAAACTTATTGAAAACACTAAATGTTGATTTTTAAATGACAGCTGTTTCGCAAAATCTTAATTTTGCAAAAATCACACATTCATGCTGTTTACTCATATATAAATCACCATATTTCCTCTCCAGTAATGTGGATACTAACTTTGTCACTTGTGTTTTCTGTAAAGAGAAAAGTATTTTAAAATATTACTATCATATCATATTTTGTATCTTCCAAGGCCAGGGTCTTCAAAATAACATATTGGAACTGTTAGAAGAAATTGCAGTCCAACAAAATTGAAATTAATAAAGGATACATGAAGGACTTACCTCTTGAAAGCAGTGGCACATTATAATGCAAGGGTATATGGAAAGGGAAAAGGTAAATTAAACTCAAACTACTTGATGCAAAATAGCTTTCCTTCCAGTTTGGAATATAAAGTCTCATTTTGTTCTAAGTAGAGTAAAGAGGGAGAGGAGTAAGGAAAACAGCAAGTCAAGACCAATAATTTGTATATGTAGAAGAAAGATTAAAAATTTCTTAAAGTGCCTTGTTCATTATTATTTATAAGAAGGAACAAGAACACTTACATAGCATTATTAAGAAATCTTCTAAAACTATCAACATAATTATAGATTTCATACTTAACGATGAATAACAATTTCTCAGTAGTAATGCATAATGAAGAAACACTTATTTGTGTCTTATGTTAATTAATCCCATATAAATTTGGGTGAGACACCTACCAGATTGGCAAAGTGGTCAGTTACTTTAAATCACTTAAAGACTAATAATCTTTCTGCTTTGAGGAAAAAGACAACTTAAGAATTTAGCTTTATATACCCTTCTGAACTCTTAAATTTTTGGTTACTGGCATATATTATTTTTAAAATAAAAAGTAATTAATAAAAAGTCACAACTCTCAACTTTGAAAGAGTTCTGCTGCAGATCTTTTGTAACATTATAAAAATATGAAAAATGTACTAATCACATAATGAGTAAATAGTCTGACAATGATTTCAGAAAAAACTTTGATACCTGATGAAGGAAATGCTTTCATCAACACCACAAAACACCTATTCTACAAAATGACAGATTACTGACTAGTAAAGAGGGTGATTTATTTTTGATTTCTCTAATCTAAACGTAGTAAGAGAAATGTCAACTGCAAATTTGTCTTAGACACCACACTTTGTTTTCAGACTAATCAAGTTTTCACTGTCCTAACATGTGGACAACATTTGAAATCAACCTATTTTTAAATACACCCACTTTGCTAATGTGAAGCAGTACTTTGCTTGTTAATGATGCAAAACATGTAATAACCCCCCTTCCTCTGAATTCTTGCACACTGCTAGCCACAGGCACATGCTCAGTAATCACAGGTCCACTGATTAAAAAGCCACCATTGAGGCCTTATTCCTACACCACTGCCTACGGTTTCAGTTTGAAAATAACAAGCTTTAAATCATTTTAAGTTTAATCATCAAAGTTGTACCTGTAAAACAGAGATTTAAGCTTCATATTCATATTTTCATGTTTTAAATGTAGTACTTTTCCATAACCTCAACTTACTTTTACCTGTACATTAAGAGTATCTTATATGAGTCAGTAGATTTTTTTTTTCCTTAAAAAAAAAAAAAGAATAAGAAGACTATTTTATAAAATTTCAAGAAATGTTAGTAAGGAGAAATATTTTTGTTCAGACACTTCTTCCAGTGGACCTTTTTACACTGAAACTGGAATTTAATAAACATAGTAAACTTCTGCTTTTAGTTTTCTACGGGGCCAACAAATTGACAGGCAGCATCTTCTCAGAATATCTCCTTTGATCACTCTAAATTCTATTGTCTTAAAATAGACATACAAAAAAATACAACCAAGCCCACCTCAACACTACATACTATTTCTCTTCCTCAAATAAAAGAAGAAATAGCATTCTTTGAAGGACACTAATTTTCCTCAATATATACATCAAAACTTTAAAAAGCCACCCACAACCACAAAAAAGGTATGTTCTGAGCAGTAGCTGGTCTTCCAGACCTCCTGCTCTTTCTCTCAGCAGCAGCCTGGAGCCCTGCCACCTTCTTTTCAAAGCCCCATGGTTGCCATGGCAGCAGTGCTACAGAAAGCACAGCTCCTTCATTACGTGAATTAACATTCGGAAGGGATTATCTCAGAAAGGACCTATGCACGAAATTATTTTAATTACATTTTCCTGGGAACTGGCATTGGTAAAAACCATCATGCATGCAGATGATTTCTCTTTGTTTTCCTTTTAAAGTACATTTTTGCCACAATAAATCTGATCAAAATGATTTTACAAAAACGATTCTGGCTTCAAGTATAGTCACGGAATTCCAAAAAGAATAAGACGACCATCTATAAATGGAAGCTGCTGAAAAAATGCACTTCAACCAATGTTTTTAAATGCCTCAAAGGAAAAAAAATCATAGGGAACAGATTTTCAAAAACTTCCACTGACATTATATAGTTAGTGTCCACTTCTGTAAATCCATTCATTTTAGAAAAACCTTTACAATGAAAACATTCTCTAATTTGCTTCTGATGTTTGTGAGGCATCCTCTGATGCTATTGTTCTGTCATTACTGTTTGCTTTTACAGACTAAATTCTAGCTTAAGCTTATCTGAAAAGAATGTTGCTGGCTATCTGACCTAAGCTAATGCATCTTATGAAGACATGAGTCAAAATTAAATTTGTTTTCTGTCTTTAGACTACTTCCTAGAAAAAAAGCTTCTTACAAGCTCCTCAATTCCTCTCCTTAGGGTGAGATACATAAGCTGACACAACTGTAACCACTCCGTTTAAACTTTTGGTGACTAATAAAAGGATGGAAAAAATGAGAAAGAAGGATTCAAGGTTGGCCTTGCATTGTAAGTACCAGCTGCTCCATGTTATGCCAGGACTTGAAAAGAGTTACAGAGTAGTATGTTACGTGGTTCATAACATGTCAAAATGCATTACTTGGGTTTTGATTAACCTATAATTGCCTTGCAGAAAGTGCTATATGTATATACTATAAAGCTACATGTTAATGAAGCAAATAAAACTTCATCTCCTTTCCTTCAAAGAACTGCTGATTGGGGGTAGGGGTGTAAATTATCTCCTGGAAATTGCCTGAAAGAAGAGTTTTGGTAAGAGCAGAAAGCACCCTTGGCGACCTACCCATTTTGCTGTTTAATGTCCCCCTGGGATCCTCTTCTTTGCCCCTCTGCTAGCTCCTGAGCAGTCTCGGAACACAGGCTGGTGACTGTGGGCTGCCGTGGGACATTAACTGCAGGTTTACCAGCGCTCAGTGCAGACGAATGCTGGTCAGCACTAAGACTGGCATTAGCATGCGGTCCAGATGCAGCAAATGAGGGAGGAGTGACAGCGGCCACGGGTGGAGGGGAAGCATGTAATGAAGTGTTCGCATGGGCTGGGGTGAAGGCGGACGATGGTGATGGGATGGATGTGACTTTTGGTGAAGACACAGAACCAAAGGGTCGTGGTGCCTTATTGTAGGCCATGTTGGCTGTGGAAGTGACTTTGGACACAGCAGGAGATGTAATGGGCACAGGTTTAACTACTTCTTTAGGTTCTCCCTATGTAAAATAAAAAAAAACATACACAAAAACACACCAAATACATGCAAAATAGATTCACTAAAAAGAACACATAGCTAGTTTTCAAAAAGAGAAACACAATCATGTTAGCAGCCCAAACCTTACTTGTTTCTAGATAAAATCAATGAGCATAACACGCATGCCAACTGATCCCAACATGCATAACACAGATGCACAAGATGAGTGTATTTTTTTTATAAAAATGAAAGAAGTTTCAAAATATTTAGGAACTAGAGTAGGAAAACTATCAAAATGCCTAAATGCCATCATAAATGTCAACAGACACTTTATTTTCCAAAAGGAAAAAATTTTAAATCCCCACAATAAACAAAATATCACTAACCAAAACATTTATTTTAAAATATACAGTCCTGATTATAATTTCATCTTTCAAACATGTTTAATTACTCTCCAGAGTACAATTATTTGATTCAGGCAGAAAAAAACGCATATTTCTAGGTCTCCTATTAAAAAAAAAAAATAAACAGAAGGAAAAGATCATTTTCTCATCTAACTCAGAAATGTGCACATTCTAATGAATTATTTTGAATGAAGATATTGCTTAAAAGAAAAATCTCAACAATCCACCTGTTTCTCTCTCTGGAATGTTTTGAGATATTATTTGGAGATGGAATAAAAATTCTTTCCCTCTTCCAAAATAAACAGTTAATAGTTACATGAGGAAAAAAATGATCTTAGATGTTTCTTTATTGCCATTTATCAAAGAAAAATTAACTACTAAGAAAAATCAATTCCTCCTAAAATTAACATAGTTGTGTTTGCAAACCCTATCCCAAAGAAAGTGTGAAGTTTAAAAACAAAACAAAACAAAACAAAAGGTCAAGCTTCTATGACATTCAAGAATAAATTCCTATTCACCCTACCATCCCAAAAGAAAACAATCAAATTCTTTTAAAAACTTACAAAGGTAGCCCTATTATGTTTAACTTTAAGAAAAAAAGTAAGTAATCTAAATTAACCTTGTAGAAATAATAAAAGCTAATTGGGGGGAGGGAAGTAACTTAATGTCTCAGCAAATCAGTATAAGTAATTCAATGGAAAGGCACAAATAAAATTAAGGAGAAAATCCCCCAAAGTATAAACCAGCTGTATTATGAAAAATGGTTTGGGACAATTTGAGGTTATATATGACAGAAAAAAGGTACTTGCCAATAACCTAATCCAGAATACTCTGAAAATGTAATTAAAAACCTATTAATATTACTAATAAAATGTTATCAAAGACTTGTGATACTCATTTTCAGTAACCACTTATTCTCCTTAAAACATGTGAATAAAGATAGGCAAATTAAAAGTGAATGTGAATGTAAGAAATATGGAAATAAGTTAGATAATACATGGCACTAGAAATCATGTTTTAATAATATTGGTATAATTACAGATGTTAATTATGTACGTGTTGATTTCCATCCCTCACCCCCAACAATCTTTAAAGAAAAAGAACTGTAAGGAAAATCGTACTGAAACTATAAATTGTCAGTATGGCCTAAGACAAGGAATGGAAATGACTGATTCAGGAGGGACTATCAAGTGGTACCTAGTGATACCAGATGAGAAACACACCTTCTGCACGGGAACTGGCTCAGGCTTGGGTGTAGCAGATGCCCTGAAGGAAAAAAAAAAAAAGAAAGAAAAAGGAAAAAAAACACATAAATTTTTGCAAACATCTTATTAATGGAATTTTTATTAGTATACACCTTAATATATTAAATAATCAGAATTTATAGTTTCATATCATAGTCTTGACTATTTGTCTCTACTAATTAATTAACTCATGTAACTCAAATGCTGCAAGTACCTATACCCTTACACACTAGGTATTCATTAGTTATCTACACACTCAAATGAGGAAAGACAAACACCAATTGTGTTTCCTAATGCACCTGTGTTTAAGCTTTCAATTAAGGTTATTCCCCACCCAAAACTGAAAAGTATAATAAACAGACCTTCTCATTCTTGAGTGGTTCCTGAAATATCTAATCTGAACCTCTATCTCTAATAAGTATCTGCCTTTTCTCCTAACATCCAGGAATACGACCACAGGATACTGGGTCTCTGTGAAGATAATGAATAAATTCTGGTTGAACTGAGTCACGAAATGAGTATTTATTTTGTATTTATATTCTTAAGTGCTTGTGCAAGGTAATATATTTGTTATGCTAAAACTAAGCGGTAAGTTCTTCCATTAGGCTATAATTTCAGTGAAAGAAATGACCATACCCCATTTGTGTCTCTATACCAGCACTGTGCCTGGCATGTAATAAGACATCAGTAATGAGTGTGGAAAGGAGAGAACAAGGAAAGGGCAAAACTCCATGCATAGAACATATTTCCAAATTCAAATTATTTCTGATATATGCTTTTTTATTAGGTTAGCATGGACTAACAGTAACAATTTGGTTGGCGTGGACTAATAGTAACAATAATTGATTTGGAGCAACTATCACATATAATCATGACAAATAGCCAAAGTTGCAACTATCCTTAACCCCATTTTTCAGATGAGGTATTTCAAAGTTTAAAGTAAATTAAATAGGATACAGCTGGCTGACAGTTCTTATATATTACAATATACTAGCTGCAGTCTAGTAACTAAATGATTGGGAAAGCTAAAGGCTATTTACCCAGTATTAAGGTACATTATGTTTAGTAATGCCAGAAGCAATGTGACTCCTCTTATAATACAGGCTACAGATAAGACATCAAGTGCAAAATTCAAGAAATGTAACAGTATGTAAATAAGTGATAACAATTTAAGCTATAAACCATGGGATCGTTTTACTTATAGAGATAAGAGATCGCCAACAGAAGAAGCTAGCATAGGATATTTGATCTCTGTAAGTATAACCTAATAATGAACTCCGATCAATATTTTGCAGCAACTGAATTTTCCAGTAACAACTAATTTGGTTAGGGCAAGCACTGACTGAATAATTGGCTAACCTAATGAGAGGCCACAATGGATGCTAACAGTAGGTTACTACAATATAGAATTATACTCTGTGAAGTTGCATAACTTTCCATGTGTACTCTCTCAAATAGAAAATTTCTCTTTTAGCTTATAGGGTTATTATAATAAGCAAAGGAAACAAATTCAAGTACAGAACAGTGGAATCTTCCTTTCATTGAAATTTCACAATGAGATGTAATCACAAAGGATCTACTTATTAAAACCACCCAAGACATTATTGGAAGTTTGCCATAACAGGATGGTTTCCTTTTTTATCTGGACACTTAAAGGTGCATGGAACTCTTCTAGCAACATAAAAACAGTCTATAAAAAAGAACTTGATGTTTAACAGTCACCAAGTTTCCAAACAGAATAAAATGCATATATCCTATGTCTATGAAAACAAACCCCTTAGTTTTTCCCAGGTGTTAGTTCTTAACCAATGTTAGCAACAATAACAAGAACCTCCGAATGGTTAGTTTACTTAATTTTGGAATCCAACCTCTTAATTTTGTTGAGAAAGCACAGAATAATAATAGTTCTAAAATACTTTATGTATTGGAAGTTCAACAAAAATACTGTACTGCTTGAAATCTTGAATTCACAAAAGAACTTAAAATCTGAAACTTGAATCTATTTGCCCTGCTTACCTTTTGATAAAGTCTCACAGTGCAACTACCTGAACTAAGACAAGCAGTCAGGAAAAAAAAAAAATGGATAACACACCCCCCAAATCCCAGAATTGAGTCCATTACACATTGAAAACACAAACATCATTTTGTTGGGAAAAGACAGACTTACAATGAAATGTCAAATAAAGTAGTTGGCACTAGGTGCAATAAAAATTAGTTCCTTGGGTTTAAATATTTAAATAACCACCAAATGAGTGGTTATATAGATTTAGATTTCCTTAAAGCTAACTTCGTCACATGACATGCAGGTATTCATCTGACCTCTGAATATTTATAGGAGCTCATACTTTAAGCCATATAATTTTTTAACCCTTCTATTTAAAATGGCCCTCATTTTATTTTTTTAAATTTTTTAAAATTTAATTGATATTTCTTTTTTAAGATTTCATTTATTTGTTTATTTGACAGAGAGACAGTACAAGCAGGGGGAGTGGAAGAAGGAGAAGCAGGCTCCCCGCTGAGCAAGGAGCCCTAAACAAGGCTCAAACCGAGGACCCTCGGATCATGACCCAAGCCAAAGGCAGACCTTCAACCAACTACGCCACCCATGCGCCCCTAAAATGGCCCTCATTTTAGAGTGTGGTTTTGCTTTTTGGAGTAAAGAGAGGTCAAACTGTCCACATTAAAAATATTTGGAAAAACATTTTTAACACACAGTATATGTACCTATAACATGCATTAGTTACATTTTAAAAGATCAGTATTTAAGTGTATTTATCTTATATTTAAGTGTATTTTTTACTTAAGTATATATTTAAGTATAATTACATACTCTTATGACACTAAAATTACTGTGCTTTGAGAAATTAAAATACATGACAAATGAAATCTGCAAAATTAATGAACAGCATTAGTACGAGCTTTAAAAAAATCAAACTTTGCTAATTATTACAAAATAACAAAGATATAGACCACCTTTTGCTCTCAAGTGTGTACAGGTTTTTTTAAATGTTAACACATAATGTTTGTGAGAATACACGTTGTTGGAAAAACTATACATTAATACATCTCTCTTGAAAAATAATTTGGCATTTATTTATAAAAAGCCTTGAAGAAAGCTCGTGCCCTTTGACATAATAATCAACTTCTGGGAATCTATCATAAGGAACCCACCTGAAATATGGAAAGGGCTTTATGTACAAAAATATTCATTCCCTACAGTGTAACTTAGTGAAAAACTGGAAACAGCTTAAATACACAACAATGAGGATATGGTTAATTGTAATAAAACCACAAGATGAAACATGCAATGATTAAAACCATTCTTTGAAAGAATCCCAAATTGCATGATAACATGCTTACTTTGTGGTATTAAATGAAAAAAGGAAGATGTAAAATAGCATAACCAGTATGGTCAGTGCATGGAAAAAGCAGATGGAGACAGACTAACATTTTAGTAAAGGTTCTCTATGAATGATACTTGTTTTTTTCTCTTTTGTGTTTTCTGTTTTATGAAACATACATGTACTACTTTTTACAGCTTTCCCAAAGTATGTTTCACGGAAAGCTACTTTTCAAAACACACAAAAAAAGAGGTTCTGTTACCAAAGAGATCTGGAAAACTTAAGTTATATAAGCATGTTAGCCACAGAACTTCTCAGAGCCTTTAAATGCCTAAAGAAAAAAATACTGCAGATTGTTGTCCATACCCCTTTGAAGTATGGCATACTAATCTATTTAGAATACTTATTTAGGAAACCTTTCTCAAGACTGGAGTTAGGGAAAAAACCCTCTGGGAAATGCCATTTTAAAGAAACAGTAAAGAAAGTAAATCCTTGTAAGTCTGAAATGTTTACTTAAGTCTCCTACAAGTGGCTAAAATAAAGGAAAAGAAATATTATAATCCATACAATCCTCGAAACCTTTTGCCAGACCAAATATCTTCTTTATCAAACTAGTGCTTTCTTTAACTATGTTTAATAAGTAAGATACCCAAAGATTATGAGAATAATGTAATCAATGTTTAAGGGAGGAAAATCCCATTTCCTTCACCAAACTGAAGTATGTATTTCCTATATTCCCTGAGGAGAAAATCCTAATATATGAATAAGAAAAACTATTTCTCAAAATTAAGATTTTTTTCTTTAAAAAAAAATTATACTGAGCATCTGCTCCTTTAGAAATATCAGAGATTACTTAAAAGTGAATCATTTTTAGAAGACTTTTAAATAGATAAGCAGTTTTAAAAACTGAGGTATAATTAGTAAAAATTATTCCTACATTGTTCTCTTCAAATCCTGGGAAATACGCAACAGGGTAATATATCTCCATTTCAACCACAGTGATCATCACAAGTCACTTTTGTGTAGTGTGTGTTTCAAACCAGCAGAGATCCTGGCAATGGCTTAGTGCCATGGGCTCAACAATTTGCTTATTGTTCTCTCTTCTCTTAGTGTGAAGCCACTGTACAGGAGTAAGCCATGATGGTGAGAGACTAGTGCCTTGGCCCAATACTCTCCTCAGCTCATGGAATTCAAAGAACAAAGCCATCAGTGTGGCTAGAACAATCTATTTTGAAAGTTGATTGATTTTTGTGAGAGCAGCATCCAAACTAAAAATCCCTGGTGCATTGCATCCAGTTTCAGAACTTCTGGCTACACAGTTGAAAGATTTCTATGTTATAATGGATTTTATTAGAAATTAGAATTGTGATGCCCTGGTTAGAATAATGCATAAGAAAAATAATGCCATAAATAAACAATAGTTCTATCAGGGATTAGATTCAAAGGAGTCAAACAAAACTGCATCTTATGAACACCCAATGAATGGTGTTATATTTAAGTTATATAATGAATTAATGCATTTTTCTAATACTGCTTTATAAAATAATGTGCTTTTAGTTAAAAAAATAGCCAATGAACGTTCACACTGGTATTTAAGAATGAGGAATTAAGCAACAGAACTAAGACTGATAAAAATTATTCACATTACTCATTGTGTCTTGGTGACTCCTTCAACCATATC